AACTTTAGTGAGAAAATTGAAAAAACGAACTACAAACATATTAACGCCAAACATTCGGTAGAATTTATAGAATATTGTAATATATATATATATATATATATATATATATATATAATATATACAATATTATATATAATAAAGTCATAGATGGACGGATAGACAAAGAAAGAAAGACGACCAACCTGCCCGTAGAGGTCGGTGTTCAACAAAATCATGGCCGCTGTCATGGTGTGACAGCTATCTGTTGAGTGGCCATTTTGAAGAAATATATTATAATATATTAATTATAATATAACATAATATAGTAAATATAATATAATAATATAATATGACGTATTAATAATATCTTTTGAAATTTATTATGAAGTGTTATCTATCGACCAGATAAAGTGAAGAAGTTATATTAACCTATTGTATGTAACCTTTAACACGTACGCAACATACAGCGTGCCATATAGCTTCAACAAAATACAACAAATACAAAGGACAATACATTTCGGTTTCGGAAACAAACATCATGCTGTAGTTCATCAGCTTAATTGCTGATGTGACTGACGAGTTACATTTTACATCTGACGTTCTACATCGCCAATTGTTTTAGTGATGTCTGATTTAGCAGAAATTTCGCGGGAGTGTCAAAAACGTTAAAGTGACGATTTCCAACTGAACTCTGCTTCTTCCTCGGAGACTAAATTGCCAACAAGAATCTGGTGTAATACTATTTTTTCTCTTCTATTATAATGTACATCTGATATACGTGGAACTGCTTACTTATCCTTCTATACTTAAAGTTAGACTTAAGTTAGACTTTTAAATAGTTAAACTTTCGCGCCACAAACAAAGGCTGCTACATCCACATCACACCACACCACAACACAGGATGTATATAAGTATTTCCTATGCACATGCAAGCACTGCATCATGTTCATCGTCATCTTTCTCACCAATATCATCATCATCATCATCATCATCATCGTCGTCGTCGCAATTATCATCATCATCACTATTATCATCATCGTCATTATCACTATCACCTTCAGATTTGAATTCTTTATCATTGCATTCGTAATATCTCCTGGAGAACTCATTAAGTATTCGATCCCTCTCCTGAGTTTCACCAATCAGAGCAATCTTAGCCAGAAAGCTGCGCAGTGATTGGTCGATATTTTTAGAACTGAAGTCAAAATGCTGAAGATAAGCTCGAGCAAGTCGTTTAGAGAGCTGCGTGCTGGAAATGTAAGGAAAAAAAAGGTTATACGATAGTGCTGATTAAAATATGGAAATGATATGATAATGGTGAAAGTGTGAAAGTCCATGAAAATGATAATAATGATAGCATAATGATGTTGCAATGGCAATATTGATAAGAGTTCAGCCATCAACTTTGCAATATAATCGACAATGAAACAACATATGTGAGAATGTCTCAAAAACATCATCTCAACAACAACATCACCAACAACATCTCGACAACAACAACAACAAAATTTTGACAACAACAGGACAACAACAACAGAAACAACAACACCCCGACAGCAACAAGACAACAACATCCTCACTAACGGTTTGTTGATCTTCAGAGCAACTTCTTCTTTTGAAATGCCATCCAAGTTGAACATCTTCTCAGCCATCATTTCAATTTCATCCTTGCCGTCGGCTGTTTTGTCATCTTTGTTAAATATCATCATCAATATCATCATTATCCTCATCATCACCATCATCATCATCAAATCATTATCAATAATCTCTAAAGATGCCCTAACGGTAATTATTGTTGTTGTATATATTAATAAGGTAGTATTTGTATATAATTGTTTCTAATAACCTAGAAAATAAACAAAAATAAAAGACAATAGAAAAAAATAAAAATATTAATAATAATAATAAAAATAATAACAATAACCATTACCTTTGGCATTGTCGTAATCACCGTCTTCTACAATTTCCACCACCACGTTATTGATGTTGTTGTTGTCATTTTTGTTGTTTGTTGTAATGTTATTAATGTTGTTGTTGTGTTTGGTGGAGGTGTTATTAATGTTGTCGTTGTTCTTGTGGTTGGTGGTGGTGTTAATAATGTTGTTATTGCCACTGTATAAATTGCAGTTGTTGTTGTTGCTGTCGTTGTTGTTGTTGCCGTTGTTGTTAGTTTCACCAGAACCAAAAAATTTTTTAACTTCATCGTTTTTCACCCCATACTTCAAATCATCTGGTAATGTTGTAATTATTAAAATAAAAAAAATAAATGGAATGGAATAAAACGCGTGTGTGTGTGTGCGTGTGTGTGTGTGTGAACAAACAAACGTGCATGTGGGTGAGCGTGCGTGTATTAGTTTTTGAAATTATAAAAATAGCAACAAAGTTTTTATAACACTGAAGAGAAGACACCAATATAATTACCAATAATACAACCACCATGAATGTTATAAGCAGATGTGTTGTAACAACCACAGACACACTCACGCACAGACTCGCACACACAGACTCACACACACAGACTCACACACACAGTGTTACACATAGACTTACACATAATGACCCTGACTTAAGCCTATTTAGTTAATTGCCTTCTAACTGAACAGTTCATGAAAGCAAATAATATTATTATTACTGAATCAATTATGGAGTAGTACTTATAATAACATTATGAATGAAAGAATGAATGAATGAATGAATAAATAAATGAATGAATGAATGAGTGAAAGAATAAAAAAATGAATGAATGAATGAATGAATGAATGAATGAATGAATGAATGAATGAATGAATGAATGAATGAATGAATGAATGGGTGAATGAATAAATGGATAAATGAATAAATGAATGAATGAACCACAAGTGAAAAGAAATTAACTACCACCAATTACATAAGGTAATTGTTATTAGAAATGGTAATGGTACTGAATTGGCCAAACACTATTTATCAAATGACACAATTTTGAACATGAACTACAGTAAAATATTCACGAGAAGAATGATTCTGGCATCATTTGAATGTAAAATAAAACTTCATAAATGCGAAAAAACTGTTGGCTTTTGTAAGGAAGGGCATCTCTATTTACTTAACTATTTACAACACATTCAGCAATTCACTTTCAAGACAGTCTGCATTTCAATTTGATATTGTCCTCTTTTTCTCTCTTAGCTTCTACCTTTCTCTGCTTCTCTGCCGGTTTCCACCTCTCTCTCTCTCTCTCTTTCTCTCCCTCTCTCTCTCAGCACGTTTCTATATATCACCATCCACATCATCATATTTCTTTCTCATCAGATGTCAACCAGACATGAAATGTTCCGTAATGATTTATAAAAGTGGGCTCTTCTAAATCTCGACATCATCCAGTATCAAACTTACCCAATCCATATGAATACAATCCACCATAGGCCAGTATCACAAAATGCTTTGCTCAAATAGGAATGATAAATCATCAATTATAAAGAGAATAATAATAATAATAACAATAATAATATAACAAATACTAAATATTAATAATAAGCATATGATAAACAGTAATTACATATAAGCTGGTTACCCCCAAGATTGTCATAATCCTCTTCACAATCATCATTTCTGTCAAAATTTTTTATGTCCTGTAACAGTAGGTGACCATGCTTCGGTCGAAGGTTGTTTGCAATTGGTGTCGATGGCAATGAAATAGAAGCAACATTGCCAAATGACGCTGATGATGATGTCAGCGGCGTCGACTTTACAAATTCAAGTTTTTTTATGTTCATGTTGTTGTTGCTGTTGTTGTTACTAGCGTTGTTGTGGCTGGTTTTTGGTGTTGTGATAATATGTTTCGTGTAATTGACATTAAGGTCAGCAATTTCGTTTTTATGAATTCTATTGCTGTTAATGTTGTTGTTTTTGCTGTTAATGTTGTTGCCTTTGCCGTGAATGTTGCTGTTTTTGTTGACGCCACTGATGCTAGAGTTGTCATAAAATGTGTTGTTTAAATTTTGCTGATGTAAATTTGTTGAACTATGGCTCTTACTGCTGAGCTTGTTGCTGCAGTGTTTTGAAGTGTCACTGATGTTGTTGTTGTTGTTGCTGCTGTGCTCTGAAATGTAAACAGTTGTCCAAGCAACTTGTTTGTTGCTACTGCTGTTCTTATTATTGTAGTCGATGATGCTGTTGACTGCACTGTCGTCAGGTAAGTTATTGTCACCTTTGATGCTGATGCGTGTTACACCACTGTATTCGGTGTCACTCATGATTTCATCGTAATCGTGCTCTAAATATCTGCGACTCCTGATCCGGCTGTTATTACTGACATTATCGTAAGGTGTAGTGTTGAGGGATGAGATGTGGTTTAGATACTTGCTGTTGTTGTTGTTAATGTTATATCTATTGTTGTTGTAGTTGAGGTGGATGGAATCGTTGTTTCTCACATTTTCAAAGGCTAGAACATTCTGCTGTTGTGGCTGGTTTATTATTACTTTTTGGAAGTTGTTAAATCCGTTGTTAGAGTTGTTGTTATCAATTCTTTTGCTGTTGTGAGTTTGGAGGTTGTTAGAAGCTTGTAAGTTGTTGGTGTTGTTGGCAACATGACCATCTATGTTGAAAAGATTTCCGTGGCTCCTTGAAACTTCCTTGTTTTGGAAGTTTTTACTGAGAGGTGAATGATGCTTGTTGTGGACATTTATCAGACCTGGTGAGCTAAAATTTTGCTTCATTAAATTTTGTTGCGGTTTAAAAATCGGTGAATATTGTTGTTGTGGAATTCTATTTTGCTGTTGGAAATAATGTTGCTGGTTATGTTGCTGCTGTTGTGACTGATGTTGCTGCTGTTGTGACTGATGTTGCTGCTGATGTTGTGGTTGCTCCCTCTGTTGTTGTTGCTGCTGCTGTAGATGTTGCTGGTAGAAACGTTGATGCTGTTGATGCTGGTATTTGTGATCATGGCGTTGATATTGGTCAAGTTGTTGATTCTGTTGACTAACTTGACCAGGGTGACGACTTGGGAATAATGAGTTGTTTGCAGCATAGCAAGTATTCTCAGCTGAAAATGTGATATCAGGGATGTTGTTGTTGTTAACATGTTGAAGAATGTTGCAACCTTTGTTCATGTTGCCAGCAGTACTGTTAATGTTACTGTAATAATATTTGTTACTGCTATCTGTGACTTTCAAATGTTTGTTAGTGCAACCATGATTTGATTGATTGGTGAATGATTGGTGACCCGATTGACTGAAGAGTTGCTGAGAGGGGAAACTTAAAAAAGATTTTCCAACCTGTGGACTTTTAAGAAGTTCATTCTGATGTGAGAGATAATTATCATTGTTGTTATTGTTGAATGCTTTGGTTATCAGGAAGCCAGATTGGAAGAAACATTCGGAATCATCGACATCTCTACGTGGAAAATTTTGTGATGGAGAATGTTGCTGCCTGGCTAGTTGAGGGGAACAATAAACCAAATCAGTTATTGACAAGCTAGCTACTTTATTCAAATTTATACCTTTTCCATCGTAATCATAATTTTCTTCGCCCAGATTATAATAATCATCATAATTTGATGATTTATAGTTCATATGATCAATATTTATTTGATTGTTTACGCTACCAGATTGTAACGATATCTCATTGGAAATGTTACTATGCGACAGCGATGAGTGCAAAATGTGAAACTGATTGTTATTAACTGCCGGAGTTGTCGAAGACTTTGAACTTGAGGGATGCAAGACTTGCATACCTGACATATTTTCTTTTGAATATTGCAATTTGGCCATTTTATTATTAATTAATTATTAATTCATCGACACATTCATTAATTATTAACCACCTAATTAAAACTTTCCCAATTATAATAATGAGTCCTCACTTGCATTTAATAATTTTAATTTATTTTAATCCAATCAACTCTAAGAATTCTGAAAAGGATAAAATTCAGTCAAGTGACAGCTGGACTAGAATAATAGGAATTGTTTTGATTTTTAAAAGGTGAACGTGAACTGCAACCAACTAACTAATTTTTCATTTTCTTTTTTAAATTAAAAAAAACTTATTGAAAATATTCTATCCAAAAAAGCAAACGTGAAATGAAATGGGGTAATCTCGGAGACGGCAAAGTGGTTTTTCCAGAAATATTTATTTATAGTCAACAGTTTAAAGAGATTCATAAGCTCCACCCACGGTGCAACTAATAAACTAAATACAGCCTGCATGTTCGTTGGTTAGCAACAGTATAATGTAAACAGCCGAAATACTAAAAAAAGGAAAACTGTTTTTTGAGTAATTATTTTTAAAATGTTATTAAATTTAAAAAAAATAAATAAAATGTAAAACGCTTGACAATGCAATCTACCCTTAAACGATTTTGAATCAAAATATAACCTGAATTTTATGCTTTGTACCATATAATTAGAATAAATATAACGGCCTTCGCTCATTTTTGACGGTCGGACAAGGAGCTTACTTCCGGAGGAAAATTGGAGGGTGATTTTTTGTCGCCCAAGTCAAAAGTTACGATCGTATATTTACTAATTTCAGAATATTGCTTTTATTTAAAATTTCAAAATGTTTTAAAAGGTGATACTAGATGCTGTTTTGGGATAGATATTGCTGTATGACGGTTAAGTATCTTTTTGCATTTTAAATAAAAAAAATTTTTGGTGAACCACCAACAACACAACAACACTAAACGACGACTAATTAGTAATTAAATTACTAAACTTAAACTCTAATAATTAAACTAAAACTAATCTCTACTGATTCTAATTACTAATTGAAATAAATAACAGATAACACTAACGAACATTAACAGATTAGACTACTAGAAACTACCAACCACTACAGACTACACTAATACATACTACTACTACACTAACGACTAACAGCACTTGTTCCTAAAATCCTAAATTCTATTGCTTGATTGGTTTTAAAATTTTTATTTACAATGCTTAGGTCTGGGAATAAAAAATATACTAAATTAAATATATATATTAAACAACTTATCAATCAATTTTATAAATAAACAATTTTGTAATTTGTTCAATTCAAGCTTCAAACTCCCCAAGCTAACTTGCAATTTAATTAAAAATTAATTAATTATGAGTGATTCAAACTAAATTTTTTTTTATTTAATGTTTTACAAAATATTCCTCATTCTTAAATTGTAGTACATGTTGTTATTAAATTTATTAAAGATAATGTGTGATTCCAGTGATTCATCAATCCATGACTTGTTAGATCATGATCATTCAGTTTTAAAGAATCCCCATCACCATAACCAATGAGGTTTGTAAAAATTGTACTTTTAATTTATTATATTTTATGCACTTAGAATGTTGTGTTATTAATTATTATCATTAATTTATTAAATGCTGTTCATACCTATAGCAAGTAAATAAAATAATTAAGCATAGAAATAGCCACAATCAAATTAATTTATATAGGCATGAGTATAATTTGGATAATAATAATTAAAAATATCGGTATCATTGAAAATGGCATAAATAAAAAAATAAATCATAAATTGCTAAAAATAATAGTTCCAGTAAGATTTTGCCTTACACCTACATCTTTTTTTCATTCTTATATTATAATAAATGTTTGTTATCAAATATATCAAGGATTGATTTCTCAATCCATGACTAGATTGAATGTCATGACCCTACAGTTCTAGAAGATCCCCATCACCATTAGTCAATAAGGTTTGTAGAAATCACCTCAGGCATACCATCAATGTTTTGTAGCCACCTTTTAATGTAGTGTTAATAAAATGACATTGAGAATAGTTATTTAAAACAATCTTATTAAAATTATTGAATAGGTATGACAAGATTACTTTCTTAATGTCCTAGTGTGAGGAAGATGTAAGCCATTTGTCCAAAGATAATCATATGCCTTATGCCCATACAAATGCAGTGTCAACGCGAATGATTTTTGACCAGAGTCATATGTTCTAATTTTTTTAAACTTTTCCAGAAATTTTTCTGTTAATTTATTTGTTACATTAAATACTTGATGTGTATTTCATATAAAAACTTGATTATGCCAATTTAGTTAACTTGTTAAGCATTAATATAAAATTGACTCTACTTGTAATGGTGATTGGTATGATGATGATGATCCCAGTCCTAAACAGGGTTTATTATTCACAATGTCATTATGCCCTTTCTAAGTTTTAATAAAATACATGGAATATTGGTGAATGCATTTTATATTTTTTGTATAGATAATGTTGCAATGTACAACGATGATGTGAATTGCTTCCTTGTGTAACTGATGACATATAAATATAACTAACTTGAAAACATGGGAATGCTTTCTTCAGCATTATCTTCCTTTCTCCATCATAACCCTTATAATCTTTATTACAGAAATGGTCACTGCATATTCTTGCATTTTTTGATGGAAGCCATTTGAAATCATTTATTTCCTGTCTGATGCACTTAATCCAATCGTTTTGCATTTTTACATTTTGAGGAAATCTGAAATTTTATAAACTGTTACAGAAACTTGTGCATTTCTTAAGTATTGCTTTTAATAATAAAATGGTAATCCATGATAGCATTATAAATTATAATAGTCTATAAAATAAAATATATGTAATTGTAAAACAAAATAGTTCTATTCAACGAGTATAGTATATGATATTTTAGTGTGAAGTTAATTTGAAAATAAACCTGTGAAAAGATGCATCAGAAATTTTCTTATTTCTATTTATTATTAATGCAATTTTTAATGCAACAGGTAGGCATGTTTGTGTATAGCTACGAAAATGAAAATTTACTTAAAAACTAAATTATTGTATCTGACACGAAAATTAGTACAGAAACAAAAACGAAAGAATAAATGACAATATAAAAATTTAAACATTGATTGAAAGTTTATTCTAATTATATGGTATGGGCAATTCGTTGCGAAATCGTTGGAGGAAATGGTGTCCAACCAGTAGTTATTTTACTGCATGGTAGTAATAATCAGCCGGTGTAAAGGTTATATTCAATTCCTATCAAATAAATTTGACAAAATATACACAGGCAGAACTAAATAAAGAAATAGACATGTAGTTATAATACATTTATAATGTTGTATTTACACATTCAAATTGTACAATTGTGTTATGGTGTAGTCTCAAATTACTTTAAATTCTCTCAGAAAATTTTAAACGTTATACTACACTATATATACTAGTTATTTTTATCAACAATTTAAAAATTTTATCAATAATTAAAAAAAAATTTCAAATTTATTTCATTGCGATATCACTAATGATTTTTGTGACCTGACTGATTAAAAAGCATCAAAGAAAGTTAAAATAGGATGGAGAATTTGTTATATTGGGATATTCGTTTAAAAAGCGAGCAAAATTTTAATATAAAAGCGCTTATAAATTTATGCATATTGGCTCGGCTTGGCTTGGCTCGGCTTGGCTTGGCTCGGCTTGGAATTGGATGTTAAGCAAGGTGTGGTCTCAAACAATTTTGAATTCTCCCCGAAAAATTTGAGCTGCGTGCTTACATATATAGCACTGATTACTGTTGCTTTTATAATGAATTTTTATTATATATATATATATAAAGTGACTGGAATCCATGTATACAAATAATTAAATTATATTATATTAGATTATGTTCATATGAAAAGCAATATAGCAGATTCAACCAGCCAACCAGAAAGTTTCGAAGGCGTTCGTTCGATGACTTCAATTTAGTACGGTTAGCATTTTTGTTAAGACTGTATAATAGTGTAGTACATACATTAAATAAGTTTTTTATTGATGTGAATGATTGAAATGATGAAAATGTATGATTGAAACGAGTATAAATAGGAGCTGAAAAAACGTTGAAATCAGATCAGGCATTTCTGCCTCGCTCGAGTCGGAGTGCCTGATCTCATTTTTTTATATTTATATTTTTTTAATTTATTTATTTTCATTTAATTTTATTTTATATAGAGTTATATAGAGTTATAAAGTTATATAGAGTTATATAGAGTTTGCATGTCTGTGGTTTGTGTGTTTGTATGTTGTATTTTTTTATATTTTAGGTGGGTTCTTTAGCGGTTGCTACATACATCATGTTTGTTTTGTGGTAGTATTTTATGTTCTGTTTTACTCCTTTTTCTCTTTCTTCATGAGTCTTGAGTTAAGTTAATGAAACATAGGTAGGTGAGATTGAGATTAATTTATTATATAGGTAGGCTAGGGCATAAGGTAATTTAGTTACATAGGTAGGTTAGGGACTCCTATTTTTTTGCTCTACTTGGTGGTGTGATTTTTGTTTTGTGTTTTTGTTTTGTTTTGTTTCACATCATACATTCAGCAGGTACGCGGTGGTTCCTGGTTTTGGTGGGATTTTTATTGATTGAATGTGGTAGTATGCATGGTTATATAGAGTTATATAGAGTTATATAGAGTTATATAGAGTTATATAGAGTTATATAGAGTTATATAGAGTTATATAGAGTTATATAGAGTTATATAGAGTTATATAGAGTTATATAGAGTTATATAGAGTTATATAGAGTTATATAGAGTTATATAGAGTTATATAGAGTTATATAGAGTTATATAGAGTTATATAGAGTTATATAGAGTTATATAGAGTTATATAGAGTTATATAGAGTTATATAGAGTTATATAGAGTTATATAGAGTTATATAGAGTTATATAGAGTTATATAGAGTTATATAGAGTTATATAGAGTTATATAGAGTTATATAGAGTTATATAGAGTTATATAGAGTTATATAGAGTTATATAGAGTTATATAGAGTTATATA